AGGCAGATCAGTCACTGGCTTCTGGACAGAGGCTGGTGGCCCCTCACGCTGGCTGCTGGCTGCATGCGGCAGCCCATGGCAACCCACTGCAGCAGGGGTTGCAGCCTACACCGTCGCCAGAGACTCATGGCAGCCCAGCTCCAGGTTGAGCTGTTGTTCAGCATCTTAACTGTGGAAAACAGTGTCACTGGCCCTCATATGTGGGATCTGAACCGGGGCCCTCTGGGGTCCCAAGCCAGCTCTTAACCAAAGCGCCACTAGGCTGGCCCCACACTAACATTTTTTTTAGTGAGCATTTCCCCCTACTTATTTTAAATGAAAGCAATTGTTTTTATAATATAGTACATCATTTCATTAAATATGGAGAATAAACAAGAACTGTCTTTGAGATTAAGATAGTTTGGCTTTTTACAACATTGTAAAGAGAGTCCAATAAAGCCCAATGTTCATTTAAAATAACGACTTGGCTAGAGTAATTTTCTGACCAAATTTCAGTGTTGAACTCTTCATAGACATGTGCAATGTGTATGTACAGTGCCTTCGTGGTTTGGCTGCCTGGACTCCACCATTCTCAAAGGACTTCTCCATTCTGGGAACTCTGAAATTTAACAAGAGGAAGGATGGGCGTCTCAGGCACACAGTTGTGACAACAGCTGCTGCAAGTTGGGTAAATAAATCTTTAACTTTTGAAAAAATAAAAACAAATCTAATTTGTATTTTTCCTATATATTATAGAACATGGGTGTTTGATATACAAAAACCATCAAATACACTGATGTGTTGAGTTGCAAAAACAGAATTCTCATCACATGAAGGCTATTTTACCACCAGGAAGAAGCCACTTTATATTGTACATCTTGACTTATTAACAAAAAGAATCACATAATTAGTGAATTGTAAATCAATTTCTATGCATGACGTCTTTCTTCAAAGTCCTGTGAGCAATGAACTACTCCTGAAAGATCATACTGTATATTTTCTTCTCACTGCTATCCAGTATGTTCCAACTTCCCCTTAATGTACATAAATGACTTGCATAAAAAAGTTTAAATAAAACAAAATTTAAAATAATCACTCTTTCTATCCTGTTTGTGTTGTTCAACAAAGGCACCACCAGCACGTCATCTTCCATTTGAAAAAAACTAAGTAATAAATGGCGTTAATGTAAATAAAATGAAACGCTTCATAAAATCTACCATTTGTACATTTGCTTGACGGGCTGGACCTCAGTCATCGGGACGATCGGAACAATTGCTGACGCTGGTTAAGTATCCTAGAGCTCCTGAAAGAAGATCTGCTGAGGTTCAAGAACCACTGATGTGGTATCAAAACCTTACTTATTAAAATATTAAAATATTTAAAAATAGTTAAAATATTAAATGAATATTTAAAATATTAAAAATATATTTGAATATTAAACATTACAAAGTATACGCACGTCTTAAAGAACGATAAAATGAACACTTACGCACTTGACTGGAATGGCAACGCGGAAGCGCGCAGACCAGCGTTGCGTTCTCTGCGAGAAGCCATCCTCAGCCTCGGTTCTGCATCAATTACGTCTCTGCTTCCGTTGTTTTGCCACACGTGTCTCCTAATGTTGTTGTGTTATTTGCTTTTAGGTTATATATAAATGGCGAACGTATTCACATACACACACACCACCCTTGATGACTTAGCTTTTTATTTTTAACATTATATTTGCGATTCAGTCCTGTTTGATCCACGAATAGATCACTTTAACACTCCTGTACGACATTCCATTGTATGGAAATAATTTTATCCATTCTACTGGCAGCCTTTTAGGTTGTTTTAGGTTGTTTACAGCTCCTCCCCTCCCCTGCTTCCATAGACATTCTTGCAATTGTTTTCCCTGGCATGTTTGTACAAGCATTTCTTCAGGGTGAAAGTGTGTGTTACAGGAGCTACGTACTTCAAAATTAGGTAATAAAAACCTATTTTCCAATTGTTGTGTACTGTGGCTGTACCAGTTTATACTCCAATTGTGGCTGTACCAGTTTGTACTCCTGCAGTTTCATGAGCATTTGCGTTGCTCCCTGTTCTCATCAGTTATTATTAGGCTCGTACCCTTGGTCATATGGTTTTAATTTCCGTGTCTCTGTGTTCTTCTAAAATAAAACAGTTCTGCCTTTCTCATTTAAATCCTTAACCCATCTAAATTCGATGTTTGTGCATGAAGTTACGTCTACCTGTGCTTGTCAGTTTTTGCTTTTATTTCTCATGGTAAAAAAGAATCTTCTGAGAGATTGTCTTCTCCCTGAGCTTTAACCCCTCCTCTGTAGAGGAGACTCAGTGGATTTATAAGACAATATGATGAGAGCTCCAGAGAAGATACTTCTAGAGATTAAGAATATGAGTTCTGGGCTGGCCGAGTGGTGCGTTGGTTAAGAGCTGGCTTGGGAAGCCAGAGGCCCCCGGTTCGGATCCCACATATAAGGGCCAGTGACACTGCCCTCTACAGCTAAGAGGCTGCACAACAGCTCAACCTGGAGCTGGGCTGCCGTGAGTCACCGGCGACGGCATAGGCTGCAAACCCTGCTGCAGTGGGTTGCCATGGGCTACCATATGTAGCCAGCAGCCAGCGTGAGCAGCCGTCCAGAAGCTGGCGACTGATCTGCCTCGCCCGGCAAGAGCGCAATGATGGTGCCAACTTGGGCCAGTGAAGCAACATCCTCCACAACTAGACTGAAGAACAAAAGGACAGCAACTTGTCTGTTCCCCTTCCCTCAATTCCCCAGCACTGTTCCCATCCCCCAATTCCCCAATAAAAATCTTTAAAAAAAATAATAATAATATGAGTTCTTATTGGATAAGGATGGACATAGAGCTCCACTAGTTCACACGAACCCCAGAAGTGTTGCAAATTTAATAATTTTGCTTTCTATATCCTATAAAACACAGCCCAGATTAGATTAGTGATACTTTAAGAAATTTCATAAAAATAATTTACAAAGTTGATAGTGTCCAACCATGAAATTATGATCACTGAGTCCTCCTTTTAGCTGCTGAGGCATTGAGATTTTTAAACTTGATGTTTACTATTAAATATGACATACTGAATATAGTACAAATTATAAACCATTTTAGATAGCCTGAAGCATAATCTCCAGCCTACAGGGTAGTAAGGACATACAAGCATATACGGCATCTTCGCCAGCTTTACTGTACACTGAACAAGACAGACTCACTGACTGAGTGTCTCTAACACACACAGTCTCAGTGCTGGGCACACACAAATGTGGATGACCTTGAAGAGGCAATCCACAAGCGGGAACGTAACCATTTAACAGACATGGATAGGAACCCAACCTCAGAAGCCATGGAATAAATGCAAAATAACAAAAAGTATTTTGGGTATCAGAAATTAGCAAAAAATACTTTTCAATAAGGCTAACCAACGCTAATGAGAGCTGTGAAATGAGCACTGTTACTGATGTTTGGTGGTGTATATGATCCTTTGCAAAGGTAACTGGAGGCAAATTGCATTGAAACCTCTAAGAGTTATCCACATTCTTTGACTGAAATTTAACTGTATGAAATCTATCCTAAAGAAATAATTTGAAAATTAAAAAAATCTTATTGCACTAAGATATTTATTTCAGTGTTCTACATATACATACATATAGTAGCAAAAACGGAAATAGCTCAGCAATGGGTAAGATATATGCTTATATACTCAGATATCTATCTATCTATCTACCTATCTATATCTCTACACACACAAATAGGATATTATGTAACCATTAAAAAGTCTATAAAAATGTCTATATATAATATTTCCATTTTTATTATATGAAGAAAAAAACAAAACTGTTTAAACTATGTTAAAAGAAGACAAGCAAAAAAAATGCATGCCTAAAAGTAAGGCTGGAAGAAAAATATGAGATGTTAATAGTGCCTGTTGAATAATTTTTCCCTTCTTTCAAGTTTCCCATCTTTTTCAAAGTTAGATTTCTATGACTTTTGCATTGCTTGTGTAATTGAAATATATAAAATATAAACATGATTTTACCATTAAAATTAACATGCTAGGTATTCAACGTTTCTTGACGTGGTATCTGTTAGAAGCAAAAGAGAACACACACATGATGCAGTTAAGCTATATGTCAGCCTCTGACAGCAGGGTGAGGAAGGGGATTGCTGTAGCTTGTGTGCAATTTACTCCTTGCCATGGTTTCAAATAAATGTGCAAAACTATGATCATAGGAATCTAAGGAAAATGCTCCCTTGCATTAAGGAAAAAGTTACCCATCACTCAACCCACGGTGTTCAAGCATAGTCTTCACATTTCAAAAGAATAAACAACAAAATGCATGCAGGCCAGAAGCCAATGGCATTATTTGTATAAAAACAAGCTGTAGTCCAGTTTTCCTATTTATTGACACAATATAAATGCAGGACTATTTTGGATCCTGAGACGAGATAACCTCCCATGTGATTTGATATTACTGAACTGGTTATTTAGTGAGCAGGGTAGAGGGAGCAAGTAAAACTAACTTGAGTTAAGTGCCTCCATGTGCCAAGCACTTTCACACATTCTTACTAATCCTCAGAGTAACCCTGCCAAGTAGATAGTGTGAATTCTGATTTACAGGCAAGAAAGCTGAAGCTCACAGAGTCAAAACACACAACCAAGCTTAGCACAGTGCCTGGCGTACAGTACGTGCTCAGTAAATATCTTCTGAATGGGTGATAGGTAATGCACCCAAGTAAGTGGAGGTGCTAGGATTCCAACCGAGATCCCCCATGCTGTTTTACAAAGTCCATGCTGTTTCCATCACAGTGCGCTGCCGTCCGTGAGACTATGCAGAGCTGTTTTAAAATGGCTAAGAAGTATCGTTGCCAATGTAAACGTGGTTAATAACTCCAGGAAGCTGTGATTTCTACTTTATGTCAGAACTACTTCAATTTCAAAATGTACACTTGGTAAAGAATGAGGACAGACAGAAAACACATGTAGGATCTTCAAGGGCCTTTTTAATATTTAAACATACATAGTACATGAAAATAACATAAATCCATATTAATACATTATATTTGTATGGAACATTTTCTTAGTTAATACACTATGTCCCATTTTGTTGTTGTTGTTGAATTCTGCCAAGTTCTTTAAAACATGTTTCCTATAAAAACACCATCCAATATGTGTTACATTAATTTTATGAGTGTTAGGTGTTATGTCTCTTTTCCCTCTTTGTCTCACACACCTAAACAAATTACCTGAGAATGCCAAAATAAGTAAAATGTGGTATGCTTTCTTAGCTGCTTTGTATCCCATATTAAAATATTTTACAACTTATGGTTGAAAAATAATTTTACTGGTTTTCCTGTATATACTCTCCTACCTACTAGAAGTGATCTGATCTATGGAATAAAGTCATTTTGCTACATCAAATGTAACAAGAACATAAGGGAATTATAAAAACTCCAAGATGTTAACTTAAAGTAGATGTGCATTAAATACTATAGATGTGACATACTTAATGTCTATCAAGCAGAGAGAGTGGTTATCCTTGCTTTCAGCAACAATATCTTCAAGATAACTATTTACCACTTCCCAAAGCATTATTGTTGGGCAGATTTTATATTAGGGGAGAGAATTTACAGAACATCACCTTCCTCATCCAAAACCCAAAATAATTGAGGACTTCAAAATATGTTCTCACAAAACATGGTGACCAGAACTCCAATGAACTCCAGGGCCATCAAGATGAAATGCCTTTGTTTCATTCAAGATCTAGAATCTTAAAATCTCCTTTGGTAAATTTAACTGGATTTTCTTTTCTGATTATGTTTAACCCCCACATTTGGTCATGTGCAACAGTCATTTTTATTTTACCTGGATATTAAAAGAAAAACCACTGGGTTTTAAAGCCAGATTAATGACCTGCTGAATTTAGGCTGAGAACTAATCAATGGAAAAAATACTGGTTGGGTAAATTCAAGAGGTTCAAAACAAATAAGCTGTTTTTAAAAATACTTAACTTGAAATGATAAGTTACTGAACGCTATTAAAGACCTTTCCTGAAGGCCAAGAAAGTGAAAGCAACCCTAATGAGCACAGAGTTACCAACAAATCTCCACACAGAAGAAGTTGTGATCTGTATCAGAATATGAAGGAAACGTCATTTCCCAAGCGGCATTAGTCTAGTCTACGTGGTTTAGGGAGTTTGAGCTGGTATATCCTGGTACTAGAGAAAATCTGAAGCAATCCACCTAGCTGGGTACAAAAGGACTAACATACCTTTCTTTGATTTATCAAATTTCACTGCTCTTTTACATACGTTTTTCTTCAAAATTTTACGATGAACCTTTGTTTATGCAGCATGAAACGATTTAATTACTTAAATGACAAGCTTCATGAGGCTGACATTCAATGGAAAAGGGTGAAATAATTTACCTTTTAGTAATCAGAAAACCTGAATCCTTTTATCGTCTTCTGTTTAAGGGTCCCTCATTAAAGCCTGTGATCTGTATTAATGTAAATAAGCCAAAGTGATCGCTGTCCATGCACCTGTTTGCACCCCAGTGTGACGGGGAGGCCTCTCCTCAGTTAACCTTCAATACTCTGTACACACTATTCTGAAACACTGTGGAGAAGTAAGGCCTCTCGTTCTTGAGCAAGATGCTACACAAGGGAGGGCTGGCTGCGTTGGAAGGGTCTTCTACATCCCAAATCTCAAGCATACTGCAACCGGGCCTGAAACAAAGGCACAGTAAACCGTATTAAAAATGCACCCCTAGCCAGAGGAAACATATTAATTACAGAGCAGCTCCTAGGTTTTGAGAGACTAACCTATTCCATAAATTAAAGATTTGAATGCATCATTTCAAAAAGCGTAAGTTCAGTATTTGGAGATAAAAATGAAATTAAGTATGTTGCACTCTCATGTTCCACTCAACCAAATAACCGATATATTATTGAATCCAATAATAAAGGTTCAGTATATATTCAGACATATATATTTAAAACTTCAGTTTCAAAATGAAATATAAATCGATATATTTTCTAAGTGATATCACCAACCAAATATAAGGTCCATTATAGAGTGAATGAGACAAATGAAAGAAAAGAAAGTATAATTCCTGATGCATTTCACATTTTTGAGCTTAAACTGATGTGGAATAGCATGAAAACATACAGTCCAAGACAGGGAAGGGAAGCTCTATGCCAAGTTTGTTCTCCTCAACCCTTTCCCATTTTGGGTGCCTCTTTGAGTGGAATGAAGGAGATAATGCTTCTTATTAGAGAATATTTCCCCTAACTCTGCGAATATATTTATAAGAGCAGCTTTACAGGTTTCGACTGCTAAATCTAACATCTGGGTCGACTTCAATCTGTTTCTACTCACTTTCTTCCTGAGTATTGGTCACAGTGCCCCTTCGTTTTGCAGGTCTGATAACTTCTGGTTAGAAACTGCACACTGGGAATTATAAATTGCAGTGATTGGAATCTGTTTTGTTCTTGTGATGATTATCAGTTCGTTCTGATACTGAGTGAACGTGCCTGGATCTCCTGTCATGGGCAGCAGCTGTCAGATTTTAGCAACTTCTCTTTTGGCCGCGGGGCTTTTTCGTGTTTTTGGCAAACAAGGTTGGGTGGAGTAATATTCATGTTCACGGGCCCCTCTTCTCCCTATTTCCCTTGCTGCTGGGGCTCTCCTCTAAATGTGTGTCTAAGTTGGGGAATGCACTTAGTCAAATGCACAGGAAATTCGCAAATCTCAAGGGCAGACATCTTGCCCTAGTTTCCACCTGCCCTTTCTTCAGGCTTCCTGGGGTCTCTCACATGTATGTGTGGAATCGTGGTTCACCCAGGCTTTAGACAGAATTTATGCTCAGATTTTAGATTTAGTCTTGTGGTGCTCTTGCTTCTAAAATGTCCCCTTTAAATATAGAGTTGCTTTGATACTCAAAACTCTGTCATCTGTCCCCTTAAGCCAGTAAGCTGTGATTTTCTGCTATACCTGAGGAGGGAGGCGGGGCTTAGGGAGTGCTGTCGGGTAAGAAATTTACAAAGGGAAGTCCTTCAAGAGTCAATTTTTCTCAAGCGTCTCTCTGTTTTTACATCACATTCTAGTGTCTTCAAATAATTGTTTTTAACACAGTCAAAACTAACTTTGCACGGCATCTTGTTAATTGCAGCATATGCATACTGGAACCGTGTCCTTGCTTTAAGTAGTTCCATGGTAACTCTTAGTGAGAACATGGTTCCACTCCACGATTTTTAGTTAATGTGACACTGAGCTTCTAGGGAACCATGCAAAGTGAGGAGAGTTTTGACATGCCCATGGTTTGGTTTATATAGTACCATGCCAAGTGAGGAATGTGTGTGTTTTCATCCAGTACTTAGAATTGTAATCTCTGGGAGGAGTAACTCAATCTCTTCTTGTCAATATTAACTGAAATCCCTCCAAAACTGGTTTCTTATGGATCCTATGTTCAAGTTCTTTGGGCCAGACAGACGAACAAGTCCTACATTCAGCTTGTCCAAACTGTAAAATCCAGTTAGCACTTTGCATTATTTTCCTTATCTGTCACAGCCTGAGGACCTTTCAGCAAGGAATATGCAATACCTGAAAAGAGTGTGAAGAAAAGTAGCAGCAGCCAGTTTTGTAAAAATGAGCTGTAACTTAGTGCTTTCTAAGAGATGGCAAATACCCGTATGCATCTATCTGATTGTTGCTACTGAGCCCATGACCGGAATTACCAATCAGTCATAGCTATTTTTCAGTCTGAGCCCAGATATGTTTTCAGAGTCCTTTTCAAACCCAATCTACACTAATACTACCAATGAGAAGAAGTTCCTGGAGAGGAAATCTGCTACCCCTTCTTTAGCCCTGATTCCTGGTGTTTTCAGGTTATTAGCTTTAGCTCTAAAACATTTATGTCTCAGAACTTTAGAAGAGTTCTTCCTGCATAAAGTTTTATCTGTGTGTTTAGAGCAATTTTTGATTGGGGTATAATTATATATAATTATATGCACAGATCTTAGCATACAGGTCCATAAGTCCGCACAAAGGCATATACCCCTCTAACAAACATGGTAATCAAAATGAACACTGCCATCATTCTAGAAAAGAGAAATAGTTTCAGTGTGCCTTCCACCATGGCTCTGCCACAGCCAACCAACCACGACTCTGATTTCTATTCCCACTGATCAGTTTTGCATGTTTTTAACTTCGTAGAAATGGAATGATATGGTATGTACACTTTTGTGCTTGGCTTTTCACTCAGCGTGTTTTTGAGATTCATCCTTTCCCCTCCCCCTACATATAAGTAGTTTGCTCCTTTTTATTGCTGAGTAGTATTCTGTTATGGTAATATACTACTAAGTGTTTATTCTTTCTTCTCTTGATAGATATTTTGATTGTTTCCAGCTTAAGTTATTGTGAATAAAGCTGCTACAACATCCTTTGTAGATGGATGTTTTAATATCTCTTGTTTAGATTCCTAGGAGTGGAACTGGTAAGAGTAGATACGAATACAGTAATATGCTTATTTTTTATAAAAAGCCTCCAAATGCTCCTCCAAAATGGTTGTTAACATTTTCAGTCCCGTTAGCAACGTAAGGGATTTCCAGTTAACCTGTATCCTCCAACATCTGGTATTTTATTTAAAAATTCTATGTGTTCTGGAGTACGTGTTATGGTATTCAATGGTGGTTTTAATTTGCATGTCCCTGAACATTGACAATATTGAGCATCTTTTTATGTATTTACTAGTCATTCACATGTTTTCTTCGGTGACTTATGTCTGTCCAAGTCTGTTGCCCATTTTCAATTGTATTGTCACTTTATTATTAATCTGTAAAATTTCTTTATATAAACTATATATGTAAGTTCTTTACAAGATATATACTTTGCAAATATTTTCTCCCAGTCTGTGGTTTGCCCTTTCATTTTCTGAACAACATCTTTTGAGGGAAAGATTTCAATTTCGATGTATAAAATTTACTTATTTTTTACGGTTAGTGCTCTGCGTTTTAAAAAATCTTTATACTTTTTCGCAACGGGTTTGCCGCCAGAACACAGGTGTAGTGAAAACCACTGCTAAATCTAACCCAAAATGGGAAAGGAAAAGACACACATAAACATCGTTGTCATTGGACACGTAGATTCCAGCAAGTCTACCACTACTGGTCATCTGATCTACAAATGTGGTGGAATCGACAAAAGAACCATTGAAAAATTTGAGAAGGA